AGCTTATCAATGTCTGGTGCAGCATCATCTGAACGGAATAAACGAGCAGTGACTTGCCAACCGTGTTTTAAATAAGTTTCATTAGCCAACGCAACCAGCTCACCTATAGTATTAGCACTACCTCCAAGTAAAGTAGATCGTAACGAAAATGGGTCCAATTGAGATGGCCTGCAAGAATCCAATGATTCCCGGCCTCCATCTCACTTATTTTTATTTACATAGTCCTTCATTGCGGTTGCTTCCTCGTCAGTCAGCTTACAATGGGAATGCTTACGTTCACAGTTCTCCTTGCATTCGCCCTTTGTGTGCCAAATGAGGCACAGTTCCTTTCTGTTGGCGTGCGTTGGAGGCTGTTCGCCTGTCCGTTTGATTAACTCAGTAGTAGTTCTTCCGGTGTAGCGATGTTCTTCGTTCATGTCAGGATTTTTTACTGATTCGCCCAGCAGGCTCTTCTTCTGGGCCCTTTCCTTCTCTCTCTTCAGCTGACTCTCAGTCTTGTCTCCTGTTCCACCAAGTCCGCCAGAGTCCTTTGCGACGACAAACAAGTTTGACTCTGGTAGACTTCCTCCATGGTAGCATGTCTCCATGTAGGAGCCCAAGTCGGGTAAGTTTTCTTCTGCGTTTGTGCCGGATCGTACCAAACGCTCAAAGTAACAACCAATTCGGCAATAGATTCCGAAGAGAAATCGCTCAAGTGCTCGCTCCTGCTGGGACACTCCCATTTTGCGTGCAATCAAATCCACATTCTTTGCAAACTTCTCGTACACGGCTGTCAGTGGATGAGTTTTCCCAAACACTACACGGTAGAATACCTGCATACCATTGACCATCGCACGGAACTGCATGGGATCCTTTGGGAAGATAGCGTGCTTGATCTTGTCGTGGGCTTGATGATCCTTCATTGACGCGGTCGTCTTTTCGCCTGTCAACCAGTAATTGCTCTTGTTGTAATCGTTGACCGCGTTTGCATTTTTTAAGTGCTGGAAACAGACACTATTAAACATGTTCAAACCCATTTCAGCGTCGCCGCGCGAACAAAATTCCAATTCCACCAGGCTCTTGATTACTCGGGCTGAAACGATGAATTCCAGATTGAGGTTCAGTTTCTCGGGCTCATCATCCAGCAGGGACTGCACAATTCCAATTGATTTGTGCTTCTTACACTTTGCTAGCTCGTGCCAGAGAGTGGGAAGCTGAGCCGAGGTCGTAGTACCAGCAACTCTCTTCAGATAGGAGAGT